TTTTTTTTAACGGGGCTGGGCGGGGCGGGGACCCCGTTACCCGTCCCGCCCCGTCCCCGCCTCGGGGAATTATTCCCCGCCCCGTTACCCGTTTAAGCGGGTTTTCCCCTCCCCGTTCGGGACGGGCCCCCGCGGGTATCGGGTTTGTCGAGTTTTTTTACCATCCCTAGGTAGCGATGGTCCCGATTCTATGCCTTGCAAGGTTATGCAGAATCTTTAAAGATCAATTAGCAAATGTTTGGTATTTTGGTGAATATTCAGTTTGATACATTATTGTTGGAGTTTGATTTGGGGTCCATGCTGAAGAATACAACTTAGTCGAGTTCAGAAGTTATGGATAATGCTGATTTACCACCACCACCACCAACGGTGCCGCATATTCAATTGTTAAAGACAAATCTAGAAAAAATACTAGGCCTCCACATAAGTATGGAGAACCAGTTTTAGTAGTGTATGCTTTAAGTGCGATTAAAGGTGTTGAGTTTAGTGAAGAACCTCTACAAAAGCATTTTATGGTGTTGATTCTGTTTTAGGGCCTGGTTTTGCCATGTTTGGTGATTGTTGATTTATTTTGTGATATTGTTACTTGTGTTGATAATTTGACCAAATTTTGACACCCGAGGTAATTCTGCTGAGAAGTGTCTGGATCCATTTATCTATCTTAGTTGGATTTTGTGGAAGAGGTGCAGAATTTTGTTCGTTGGAGAGTTTGGTTGATACTATTGTTAAAGAGTTCAGTTTGCATTGTAGTAAATTCTTCTCCAGGTAGAGAGTTTTGAAGTTTGTTCATTGTATCGAAATTTGGTTCAAGGTGGAAATTTATTAAAGTTTGATCCAAATTCTATTAGGTATTTGTGAATTTGTTGAATTGGGCTTTGAAAATATCAAAATATGGACCAAAAAAAAAAAAAAAAAGACACCACATTGCCGCTAGCTTACAGCTCAAACTGCGGGATGGAATTTTCAGTAGAGGGCTGTCACCCGCCTACCACCCGTTGGCACTCGAGCGGCGTACCTACCTCCCGCTTAATGCGAGCCTAGTGCTCGAGCGGCGTGTTTGTCCGATCCAAAATTGTTTTCTTTATTCCAAGCAATTCTTTATACTCTTTACATCTTTTGTACTTGTATTAGGGTTTTGGCATGCCCTCTATATATAATTGGCTCTTCTTTACAAGTTAGAATATTACAGAATTTAGAAACACAATTTCATTGTATTCTTTCTCCATGTTATATTAAATTCTCCATTCATTTGCCAAATTTTCTTATGTTCTTGTGTTGTGATTGCTATTTTATATTGTGCCATATAATCTCGTCTTTTATTCCTAATAAGTAGTATCATTTAACGCATATTGCCAGACTCTTAACAAACAAAATATTAGAGGGTAATGTGGGGATTTAAGTTAAAGGCCATGGCCATGCACGTAGGTTTCCTGTTTGAGATGCGGTGTGGCTTTCAAACTGACTCGTTGGAGTTATGATTTGCTTCACTTGGTTCAAAGCTTGCTGGCATTACTATTTTTTTTTTCTTTTTCCTTTTTCACCTAACAAGATGATCGTATTTGATATAGTTGAGTTATTAGAGGGGCCAATTAATCAGTGGTGGAGCAATATTTTCATGTAGTTTAGGGACGGGAAAATATTAGAATGACAAAATATACATGTATTATATATTAAGTCCCTGTTCGATTTAGATAAAAATTAATTTTTTAATAAATTTTAATAAAATCAAAATGGAATGTGTGATTGAAAAGTTGTAGGTCTCATTAATTATGTGGTTAAAATCAATTATTAACTTTGATTTAGATTTTAATATAATTTTCTTAACTGAACCAAACATGACTATTTTCTTTTAAAAAAACCTTGGATAAATCTTGAAACATTTTAAAATATTGAGTGAATGATCGCCAAACCTAGTCTCCAATATCACTCCGACACTGTGAGTACTCATGATTGTCAATTTTTTATAGTTAACGAGAATAGAGCAACCCACAAGCTCACAGCTAATGCAAGTCTACTGGATGAGTTAGTCACTTGACTAGTTATATTTCGTCTTTTATTTAGCCCTTGTTTGAACCCCATTTTGGAGAAAAAATGCATTTAAGATAAGTGATTTTGAGAGAATGTGTAATTAAAAAGAAAGAAAATTTTTTTATTTACGTGTAAAATTATTTATTGAAAAATGCGTGATTGAAAATGAGTTTTGAAAAAATAAATTTTTGAAGAAAAAAAAAAACTCAAACAAGCCATTATTTCGCTGTGCACGTGAACGAGAATTTTTGTTTCGTGTTTGGACTTTAAAATTAAAAAAATAATAATATATTAGCCGCAAGGAGTGGACTCGCGCCATAAAGTCAATCTCTCTCTCTCTCTCTCTCACAACTTATTAGGCTCGTTCCTCTCTCTATTTCTTACCATATTCGAACCCCCAACAGTAGATTACAAGTGGGATTCTATTTTTTCGAAGCCAATCAAGTCTTCCTTATTTCTACTCCACGTCGGCTTTGGATATCCTTCCTTTTACATTGCCTCTATATATATTGACATTAGTAATCTTAGTATTGCAAAACCTCTGAGTTGGTGCTTGTACGCAATAGGAGATTATTCTGCGAATTCTTTTTATCATCTTGCTTCAACTACAGGTCAGTTTTCCCGTTGAACCCATCTTTTTTTCCCCTTTTCTTGGAACCTTTTTTTTTCCTTTTAATCATATATACAGATATATTGCACGTATATTAGTGTTGGATTAACGGAAGTTCTGTATTTTTTTCTTGTTTGTATAATTTTTTCATGAGTTCTTTGAATTTAAGGCCTTCTTTTAGTTGTATAATCAAGAATTGTTGGCTTCTTGTGAATATATAGGTTTTTCAATTGCTGACCGGAGAAACAATGGTACTGAATCAAGAAGAGAATTGGTCTTCTGGAATCAAGTTTGATAAGGAGGGTTTCTTGGAGAGATGTCAAAACAAAGAAAGGGAAAATCCGAAAGGTTTTGATGGTTTGAAGTTTGATAAGGTTTATGAAGACACTGATGATTTCATTAATTTGTTATTCGATGATTTGCCTGGGGATTCCTTTGGTATGGATCGCAAAATAAGTTCTCTTGATGCGGCTATTATACGTTGCATTGAGGCTTTTGATAGAGAGACTTGTGGGTTTAAGACTAAGGAAAAAACTGAAGCTATGAAGTTTGACGATAATAAGAAGGTTGCATCAGTTGGTTCCACGTTGGGCTCTGAGGAATGGTCATACGAGGGCTGCAATGCGTTGAATGGTGGCATGGAGGATTTCCTTCCTTTCGGTTTTGACATATATTGTTCATCTTCGTGCAATTTGGGTCATGAGCGGAAAGGGCTAAAAAAAGATGGTATTCGTGTAGGAAAAGATTGTGCTAAAACAAGTTTGCCCAATAATCCCTTGAACTTGGATTTTAACTTGCCCAGGGATCCTTTTGGTATCGATAATTTTGAGTCTATTACGGTTTGGATTGAGGATTTTGGTTCAGAGGGTCATGTTTTTGAGATTAAGGAAACGCTTGAAGCAAAGAAGGTTGCATCAGACGACTACATAAAATTCAGTTTCGATAACTATGGTTTCCCTCAGTGTGATGCGGCCCTTAAGTGGAAAGGCCTAGAAAAAGATTGTATTCCTGTTATCCCACCCGATGGTCTGTTTTTTGACCTTAGCTATCTTGGTATGAGGAACCCTCTTTCGGTTGAAGGAGTTTACAAATTGCCGTGTGATGAAGTAAGAAACGATCCCCTTCCATGGAGAAATATTCACATAGATCATCCATTGAATGATATAATCACGGACGATGACCTTCTGAGGATAACTAACAGGGCTCAAGGTTCTCTTCACAGCCTGAGTCTTGTGGAGTGTATAAACATAACTGCTACCGGTCTGAGGCGCATTTTTCTAAGAAATCCGGGGTTGTCCAAGGTCAGTATATTTTAGATGGAGTTATCTAATTATATATTATGATCTGCCATTGCATTGGCTTATTTTCTGTCTTTTAATGATAATCTTCTTTCATGGTTTATCGTTCCAAAGATCTCCTTGTTATCAAATCTACATATAGAGCTACATATGATATATATTTGTGTGTGGTTTGTGTACCATCTTTTGTGTGTGTAACACATAATGGATCGACTTTTGAATACAGTTGTAAACAGTCGTAGTAATCCTATTTGTCTGGTTTGAATTTTGGTTTACATTGCCTCTGTGTATTGTCCTCGCCTCGTCTGTTATTGCTATTAGTATCACGAGAACTGTGACTGGGGATTCTATATAATATGTAATTCTTTCTTGAGATTTCTTCAACTGTCAGTTCCCAATCGACCATATTTGCAGCTTAATCTTTTCTTTAGGCATGTATACACATATGTTGATCCTGAGTTAAAGCAAGTTTTGTAATTTTTCTGTTATTCTTTTGGGAGTGAAGGAAGAAATTCTTTGAATTTTTCAGTTTTTTTATTTAATCTCATGATCAATAATTGGTGGTTTCTTGTAGGTTTCTGCCGTGTTGAAGGGAGAAATAATGATAGTGAATAAAGAAGGCTATATTGGATATTTCAAGGAGAGACGCCAAGGGATAAGAATCGATCCCGCAGATGATTCTCAATCTGATATCTCTTATGAAGGTACTGCTGATGATTATGCATCTGATAAGATTTATGAAATTTTCACCAATGATCTCTTTGGTTCGGGAACGTTGCCCAAGGATCGGTCTCAATCTGAGATGCCTTATGATTACTTTGGTGTGGGAATTAGCACAAGTTCACCTGATGATTGTCCCACAGATCCTTTTGGTGTAGATTGGAGAAAAGGCGAGTTTGTTGCATCTATTTTGGATAGGGTTTTCAATTAAGGATTTTGGCTCAAAGAATCGTAAAGAAGGTTGAAAATAACAAATTATTCTATGATTAACTAACACGTCTTGACCATGTGGAGTGCATAAAGATAACTGATACTGGATTGAAGTGCGTTCTTTAAGAAATCCGGGATTGACTAAGGTCTGTATACTTTTCGTGGAGTTATTGAATTACATCTGTTGCAGTTACTGTACTTGTGATTCGGAAGATCTCAGCTGGGAGGCCAACTCGACTAATGATGAAACTCCCGTTACTAAGGATGCAATCTTTCAACAAACAAGAAGAAAACATGGGTTTATTCCATTAGATAGAGTTGGAATTTTTTATTATAATTAAATTTTGTGGTTTTCTTTGGAATTGGTTTTAACATTGCTAAATCAATCTTTCGTTGTTGTTTGATAATTTGAAACGGGGATAAAATTGAATTTGTATTGAGCCATTTATCAATTCACACAGAATTTGTCTTGTTATCAACTATATATAGTAATTTATACAAGTAAAAAAGATGAGAATACATAATTCTCTGATTTTTCTTTTCATTTTTCCTTCTGAATTATATTATCAAATTATAATTCACGTGAAAATAACAAAGATTTGGCTTAAGATAGAAAAAAAATATTCAAAAAATTATTAGTATAAATATATATCATCGATATATTTAATTATGAGGAAATTACACTAAACCAGCTGTTTAGTTTTGACTTTTAAAAAATCAGGTTTTACCTTTATTTAATCAAAAATCAGGTTTTAATTTCAGAATTAATATTAATAATAATATTTTAAATTAAATTAATTTATATACCCACCAACCCCCTACCCCCAACAGATTTCAACCCTAAANAATTTATATACCCACCAACCCCCAACCCCCAACAAATTTCAACCCTAAACCCAGACCCTCCTCCCTCTCTCATCTATTCTCTCTCTTCCGTCTCTCTTTCATCCCTACTCTAGTTGCCACAAACCTCACCGGAGGCAACATCGCCGTAGCGCTAACGTCGCTCCTCTCTCCCTATGATTGGCAGCGCGACGTTGCTGTTCAGCAGCGTAGCGCTGCCAATGATGCTGCTGGCTTCGACGCTGCTGCCGGTGTCGCAGCAGCGTTAGGCCGCCTTTTCCCTGAATACCGTCCAGCTGCAAGTCCTTCATTTGTTCCATTGTTGCACTCAAACTCTCAAAAGTAAGTTATCGAGATGAGAACGAAGGGTGGTTGCCAGCAGGCAGCAGTTAGTGGTCAAGATTAACGCTAGGAGAGGATGATTATTGCTGCTCTTTGCCAAAACGACCTTGGTGTGGGGGGTGAGAGGTGTGTGGGGGGGCGGATCTGTGTGTGCAGATCTCTGTGTGTGGGTGTGATTTACAGAAAGCTGCGATTCCCCCTCCCCCTTCCCCTTCCCCTCCCCATCCCTTCCCCTACGCTGATGCGCAACCTAGGTGGGTGTCTGTGACTCACTCTGAAATAGAGTCGTGACATGTAAAAGTTATTATTTTTCCCAATCTGTGACCTAGGTGAGTGTC